GAAAGAGGCTCCTCTCCAGGGATCATCTGGTGCGCGCGCGCTGCAATGATGTCACCTGGAAGTGATGTTGTCGCGCCAGGCACATTGGCCCGATCCAGGCACTTTGGGGGCAGAGTTCCCCTGCTGGCCAGATCCGGGCCAGTGGATCGGGGGGCCCTAAAGTGGGCAAAATCCCGCCCACCTGGGGGGATCTGCCAACCCTATTCTCGCTCAGTGCCATCTACTTCGACTGGCCGATGAACAGAGCTATGGTCCCTTCCTTGAAGTCTACCATGACTTTACCTGCTGAAAATCCTATTTCCTCCACCCCCCACCCGATAGAAAAGAATGTATGTGTGAGCGGTGGATCACCCACACCCTGCTCCGTTGCTGTAACAAACAGTATTTGTTTGGAACTGTGCTGCTTCTCAGGCAGGCTGGAATTTGAGAGGGGGGAACCCCACATCCAGAAGCTCCGCTGCGTTTGGTGTCGTGGTTAAGTGCGCGGACTCTAATCTGGGAGAACCGGGTTTGATTCCCCACTCCTCCACTTGCACCTGCTGATGTGACCTTGGGTCAGTCACAAGCTCTGGCACAGCTGTCCTTGAAAAAGAGCAGTTTGTGTCAGAGTTCTCTCAGCCCCACCCACCTCACAGGGTGCCTGTTGTGGGGAGGGGAAGGGAAAGGAGTTTGTCAGCCACTCTGAGACTCCAAGTGAAGGGCCATGGGGTATAAATCCAATCTCCTCCTCTTCTTCTTCTTCTTCTTCTTCTGCTTAACCACCTCTAGGAACTTAGCGGGTGGTCTTGCAAGCCACTAGATCTCCCCCTCATGGTCTCCCACGTGGAGATAAACACACACTCAGACTTTCTTTCTTTCTTTCTTTCTTTCTTTCTTTCTTTCTTTCTTTATGATTTTATTTATATCCCACCCTCCCCTAAGGCTCAGAGCGGCTAACAATTGGGGCAAAAGTGAGGGATGCCGAGATAATATACGCGACACTTTTAGAAACCTAAAAAGAAAGCATTCTGTAAACTGTGTTATTACTGTAGTTCCACCAGAATTACGGCAGGTAGAGTAGGGGAGAGGGGCTCATCTACTGCAGGTGTCCGGGGAGGGGCCCAGTCCATGGATCTCTTCCCCAGAACCTCTGCAGCTACAGACAGTGTTGGTTCTCCAGCCGAGCCACCTAACAGACTGGTCTAGGGCAGTGCAGTGAGGAAGGTACTAATCCGCTGCAGAGATTCGGCTCGCTCCCAGCCGTAGGGGCTCAGCTCGGACAGTGGATGGGCTCATCCTCTTTTTGGCAGCGGAATACCATGAACCAGCCCTAAGGACAGGTCAGACTGGCCAGCTTCTCAAGAGGCAGGTTTATTTCTTTCCACAACAGCATCCTGAAGTGTAGCATGGGAGTATTTCCTGTAGATGTGAGTGGGAGATGCTCTTAGGGTGGAGGCAACCCCATGCTGCCCACCAGTGTTCCCTCTAAGCTGAGTTAGTGTGAGCTAGCTCTCGGTTTTTCAGCCCCTGGCTCACACATTTTTGTCTTCGCTCAGGAAGGATGGCACCAGAGCAAACTAATTTGTCTAGTAGCCAAATTGCTTGCTCACAGCTTTTATGCCAGTAGCTCACAAAGTAGAATTTTTGCTCACAAGCCTCCACAGCTTAGAGGGAACATTGCTGCCCACCCCTGGTGAGTCTTGCTTAGAGAATCAAGCCCATCCCAGGTTCCTTATTTTTGGTTGTGTAAAAGTGTTAGTGGCATGTCGGGCTTGTGGGATAGATGGTCCTGAAATGGCTCCATGCCTATTAATAAATTATTCCTAGACGATGGGCCTCTGAGAGTGGTAGGACAGACGTCTTGGTGTGCCATAAGTGCCATCTTAAGTGTTCTTGCTGCTTTACAGAAGAAACCACCCTGGCGGAAGAGACGGACCAGGGAGAAACGCCACCAGCCCCATCCCTCATGCCCGAAAAGCCCGTTTGCCTTAGCAAGCAGTCGGCAAAAAGTTCGAAGAAAGCACAGCCGATCCCAGCTCGGTCATCCTCCGTTTCCTCCGAAGAAAAACAGCATGGTAAAAGCAACAAGGCGAAGCTCTCCACCAAACTGCCCAGCTCCCCAACTCCCCCGTTCCAGTCTCCAGTGTTCAGTAACATTCGCGGGAGCGAGCCCTACGTCGAGTTGCCAGGTGCGCTGGGAGTTTTCGGCCCGTCGGACAGCTCCTCCGGGAAAGTCAAATCTAAGAAAGGGAAGTCTGCCGAAGATTTACAAGAGTTTGGGTCCACGGCCAAGGCTCAGAGGAATATCCCGGACAGTGAGATCCTCATCAAGTTGGACCACGAGGGGGTCATGTCTCCAAAGACAAAGAAGACCAAGGAAGCCATGAGGATGTTGGGCGACTCCAATCTGGCTGGCAGAAGAGAGGCCAAGACCATCGTCGGGCTCAGCTACGCCTCCGTTGCCAGCTCGGATGCGAAGCAGAAACAGCCCAAAAGCAAAGCAGCAGGCAGAGAACCTTCCGCTCCGAATTTCGGCGGCAAGTTCGGCGGCAGCAGAGAGAAGCAGGCCTCCTCCAAGGACCGAGAGGACAAAGCTCATGTGGCGCCGGCTGGCGACGAGTCCGAGAGCAACAGCAGCAGTTCGGAGTCCGAAGGAGAGGAGGAGGCTGAGAAGAACGGGGGCGGTGCTCAGGACAGCAGCTCGGCCAGTTCGAGGGTGTCGACACCCATGTCCTCGTCCAACTCCTCCTCCTCTTCCTCCAGCAGCAGCAACTCTTCTTCCTCCTCCTCCTCTTCCACCTCCTCTTCCTCCAGCTCCAGCTCCTCCTCCTCCTCTTCCACCTCCTCTTCCTCCAGCTCCAGCTCCTCCTCCTCCTCGTCCACCACTGACGAAGACTCTTCTTGCAGCTCTGACGACGAGGCGGCTGAATCCCAGCCCGGCACATCTTCTGTCCAGCAGGTCCTCCCGCCAAAGCAAGCCAAGCAGGCGGGGAAGTCTCGGGCAGCTTCCCACCCTTCGGGCCCCAAGCAGCAGCAGCAGGGGGCGGCCCAGAAGCAGCAGCAGAACAGTAACAAGAACCGGCCCAAAAAGCGCGAGGGGATCCACCTTCCCACCACCAAGGAGCTGGCCAAACGGCAGAGGCTCCCGTCCGTGGAGAACAGGCCCAAGATCGCCGCCTTCCTGCCTGCCCGGCAGCTTTGGAAGTGGTTTGGGAAGCCGACCCAGGTGAGATTGGCACCCTTGTGGGCTCTGCCTTTGCAAGGCAAACAAGAAGGGTCTACAGGCTATCCCTCTTAACGACAGAAGGAAGAGGACAGAGAGGGAAAGGGGGGGGGAGAGAGAGCAAAGGGGAGAGAGGGAAGGGGAGGCAGAGAGAGAGGGAAGTGGAGGGAGAGAGAAAATGAAGCAATTAATCAGATCTAAAGGTCTGCATTGATATTTGATCTTCCCGTTTTACTAGGATTTTAAGGGGCCACCACTTGGGAGTCCAGTGCCTTCTGTTATGGCCAGGGTAGCATTTCCTAGGCCAATGAGTCATCAATTTGCCAGACCACCCCCCCTGTGGAGGTGGGGGTCCCCCCCATGGAGTTGGGGGTCCCCCACCGCCAGGCTCTGCCCCCAGCTGCTGATCAGCTGTCAGGTGGGGGAATTTATCAGTAGTAGTAGCAGTCGTAGCAGCAAAATTTATTGTGTAGCCATTGGCCATTACAATTTAATTAATTAATTAATTATATTTATACCCCGCCCATCCTGCGAACAGGCTCTGGGCGGCTAACAAGAGCGGTACAATATACAAATTAGACAACTTACAGCACTGGAATTTGATTTAGATTTAAAATATAATAACCTCTAAAAAATCTGCACATTAATTAAAGTCTTAACTATAGATAAAGGTAAAGGTAAAGGTCCCTTGCTCGAAAGCCAGTCGAATCCGACTCTAGGGTTGCGGTGCTCATCTCCGTTTCAAAGCCGAAGAGCCAGCGCTGTCCAAAGATGTTTCCGTGGTCATGTGGCTGGCATGACTAGACGCCGAGGTGCACGGAACGCTGTTCCGTTCCCACCGAAGTGGTACCTATTTATCTACTTGCAATTTCTTGCTTTCGAACTGCTAGGTTGGCAGGAGCAGGAACTAGAGACAGGAGCTCACTCCATCATGTGGCACACTCTGGTCTCGAACTGCTGAACGACCGACCTCCCACAGCCTGCAGTTCAGCGTCTTAACCACTTGTGCCACCGCAGCTCCATATAGATACTATATAGTAACTATAGATACCCATCTCCAGAAACACATACACAGCCTCAAACACTGCCGTTTTACATTGCCGTTTTACAGTTCAATTTCGTTTTCCTACGTCCTTGGCCCTGGTTTTACTAGCCGCTAAGGTGAGGGAACTCATCAGTAGAAAGAAGGCCTAGGCCACGTTGCTAGAATCATGCCGGCGACTTCCAGGCGACGCTCTGGTATTTGGGAGATAAAACTTCTCACAGCAGTAGAACCTGCCTTCGTCCCTTTCCATTTGTCTGCATTCACAGCGGCTCCAAACGTTAGCCTTTGTTTCTTTCTAAATTTCTTCATTTGCACCAGCGTCTACAGTAGGAGCCAGATTCTACCGCCCAGTTTGCCACCATCGCTAGGCATCAAACACTCCCAGAGCCCCAAACAGTTGTACGTGTGGAAGCAACGCCTTTTCTTTTTAGATGACGTCCTGCTACTTTGGCTTCACACATGACTCAGCGCAAACCCCGGTTTGCCATCAAGCGTGTTCGTTCCACAGGGGGCCCAGAAGAGTCCCGGCTCACTAACAGATCTACTGGCATTACACACCATGTTTCAAATGCTTAGCATTCCACTCCCAGTGCACAGAAACCCAATAGATAGAGGCACCACTTGTAAAGCCGAGAGCCAGTGTGGTGCACTCGTTAGACCGATAGGATGAGGAACTGGAAGCCCCAGGTTCAAATCCCCACTCTGTCCTGGGTGGCATTGGGCCTGTCGCTCCCTCTCAGCACAAACTACATCACTAGGTGGTTGCGAGGATTGAACTGAGAAGGGGAGAATGTTGTAAGCCGCTTAGGGTCGCAAAGGCGTCTCAGAGCAGCTTACAAACTCCTTTCCCTTCCCCTCCCCACAACAGACACCCCCTGTGAGGTCGGTGGGGCTGAGAGAGCTCTGACAGAAACTGGCTCTTTTTCAAGAACAGCTGTGCCAGAGCTACAGCTTGCCCAAGGTCATCCAGCCAGGTGCAAGTGGAGGAGGAGCAGGGAATCAAACCCGGTTCTCCCAGATTAGAGTCCGCACACTTAACCACTACACCAAACTGGCTCTTTTTCAAGAACAGCTCTGACAGAGCTACAGCTTGCCGAAGGTCATCCAGCAGGTGCAAGTGGAGGAGTAGGGAATCAAACCCGGTTCTCCCAGATTAGAGTCCGTGCATTTAACCACTACACCAAACTGGCTCTTTTCCAAGAACAGCTCTGACAGAACTGTGGCTTGCCCAAGGTCATCCAGCAGGTGCAAGTGGAGGAGCAAGGAATCAAACTCGGTTCTCCCAGACTAGAGTCCGCGCACTTAACCACTACACCAAACTGGCTCTTTTTCAAGAACAGCTCTGACAGAACTACAGCTTGCCCAAGGTCATCCAGCCAGGTGCAAGTGGAGCGGGGAATCGAACCCGGTTCTCCCAGATTAAAGTCCGCGCACTTAACCACTATACCAAACCACTGCACCAAAGAGTAGCAAGCAAAGTAAAGCTCAGGTGGTGATTAGAGGGTTGGACTAGGACCAAATAGACTGGAATTTAACCTCCCCCCCGGTCAGCTTTGAAGCTCACGAAGTGACTGTGGATCGGCCACGTGCTCTGTCTTCATCTATCTCACAAGGTTGTCGAGAAGATAAAATGAGGGAGGGAGAATCATGTACACCACCCTGTGTTCCTTGGTGGGAGGGAGGGAGGGAGAGATAAAATTGGCACTGAAAGGATGCGAGAGACGGGCTCTTGGCACTCAGGGCCTCTGGTGCTCTTTAACTCCCACAGAGGCGCGGGATGAAGGGGAAGGCTCGTAAACTCTTCTACAAAGCCATCGTCCGCGGGAAGGAGATAATTCGCATCGGAGACTGCGCTGTCTTCTTATCTGCCGGCCGACCCAACCTGCCGTACATTGGCCGGATCCAGAGCATGTGGGAGTCATGGGGGAACAACATGGTCGTCAGGGTCAAGTGGTTTTACCACCCGGAAGAAACCAACCCTGGGAAGAAGCTCAACGAAGGCAAGGTGGGTTGACGCAGCATCCCTTTCTGATAGGATAATCAATGGGTTTGGAAAGGCTTTGGGACACTGTTGCTTATCTCTTGAAAAGTGAGGCCGATATCTTCGGCACTCGCTCGGTTGTCCATTCTTCGCCCTGAATTCAGTTCCCGAGAGGGCGCCAGTGGACAAACGGAACTCCGTGCTAGCAGAGGCTTCCTTATTCCTTTCACTGTCTCGGAAAGCTCCGCACATGTGACTGGTAATTTCCCAGACTTGAAGGTGTTTGCAAAAAAGAAAATGCATGCCAAAAAAATAAATAAATCTACCAATGGCCAATTATGCCTACCCGCCAGGCACATTGTGCAACTTGTTTAGATATTTGTTCAATTTATATCCCGATCCTTTCCCTGTCAGGCAGGGCTCAGGGCCGCTTCCAACAATGAAATATACAGTAAGATCAGTAGTACAGTTTTATTACAGTTTTAAAATCCAAATTACAAATTAAAAACTTAAACCGTCAACTACTATGTTGGACGGTGCCCGACAATCTATCGCAGGTGGGGAAGGGGGGGGAGCTAGCTAAGCTGTCACTGTCTTCAACTAAATGCCTGGTGGAACCAAGTCTTGCAGGGCCTGCGTCTCATTAGGCAGAGAATTCCACCAGGTTGGGGCTAGAACCAAGAAGGCCCTGGCTCTGGTCGAGCTCTGGGACCAGGGATTACCAGTAAGTTGTTACCAGACAAGCGTAATGCTCTTTGGGGGGGTATATAGGGAGATGTGGTCCTGTAGATATGAGAGTCCCAGACCGTTTAGGGCTTTGAGGGTAAATACCAAAACCTTGAACCTGATCCGGTACTCGATCGATGGCAATATCGGTATAGTGAGCCACATGGGGGGGGGCTTTGCCATTTGTGCCTGGGTTGGCTGGGGTCTTAGCGCCCAATGCAAGAGAAGGATTGACTGGTTTCCCCATAACAGAACATTCTGACCCCAGACACTGGCCAGAAGAAGAAAGAATGCTGGGAGATTGTACCCTGTTTCCTCCCGGCAAGAAATCCCTTGGATTTTTATGAGTGGGGAGATTCTCCCCCTTTTCTCTAAAAACAGGGTGCCTCTGGCTGTGTGCAGAGCGCCTTCTCCTCATCAGCAAATTGGCATGCCCACACATCCGGGCTGAAGAGAGTGGCGAATAAGGCAGAAGGGCATGACTGTTCCCGGAGAAGTACATCTGAAGGTGCCCTATGAAGGATACTCGGTTTCGCGTTCTAATCGAGCCTGTGCTTTTGTGTTTGTTTTCTCTCCCCTCCCCACTCCTCCGCTTCACGCTCCTGATTTCAGCGCTGGGATCAGAAATCCAGCAGAAGCCTCTCGAGTGCTCTACAGGCATCCAGCCAGAGGAAGGACTTCATGGAAGTATGTATTGTCAAACGAGGCTTAGTTCCTTCTGCTTGCGGCGGCAGGGGAGGGGGAATCTTCTGAGCAAACAGTAAACAACAAATGATAAAGCATGGCAGGCTTTGCTGGGAAGGGTACGTTGTAAATCTGGGGCTACCCCCAAGAAGGCCATGCAAGCAGAAGTTACGTCATTTATAGAGGGGGAAACCCCATCGGTTAAGGGCTGCTCTCTTCCTTGGTGCGCCCTACCGAGGTCCTGTGTGGCTTTAAAGAGTAACGACCAGCGCTTGGTATTAGATCCAGAAGCAGATAGCGGCCAGGCAGTGCAACTTGGTGTGACCAAAGAGGATATTCTGTTGTGTCTCCCGAGTTAATGACAGGCAGTCAGGGCGATGAACAAACTGTTACATGATCTGGAGTAAAAAAAAAAGTCTTACGTGGCATCGTGGTTCCTGCATCCCACTGTCTGCCACCCTTTTGGTCCATTTTGAATCTGTTAATGCCGACTGCACCAAAGCGCGCTGGTGACATTTCCAGAGCTTGTACAGGGAGAGAGGGCAGATGGGACTTCCACATCCCATGGGATACCTGACATGTCCCCCTTTATAAGTGGAAACTGAAAAAATTATGCAACTCACGGAGGTGTGAAAACGGACCGCGGGGTTGCTTTTGGACATGACTGGGTGGATAGTTCCCATGGCAGTTTTAGCGGCTTTGATGCTCAAGGGCAGAAGGACAGTTTTGGGCGGTTTTGGGGTAGTTGGTTTCTTTTAAAGCAATGGTCCAGGCAGGGCAAAGTAGCATTGGAAGTCTATGACCAGCACTTGGTGACATTTCCAGAGCTCGTACGAGGAGGGAGGGCAGATGGGGCTTCCACATCCCATGGGATACCTGACATGTCCCCCTTTATAAGTGGAAACTGAAAAAATTATGCAACTCAAATAAACACATGAACCTCTTTTTAATTTAACTTCAGGTGTGTAGCCATGTCGTTGTGCAATAGAAGACCTAGATCTGAGTCCAGTAGCCCCTTAGAGACCAACAAGATTTCTAATGTATAAGCCTTTGAGTGTCAGAGCTCCCTTTTATCTATGACTCTCGAAAACTCATACCCCCAAAATATTGGTGGTCTCTAAGGCGCTACTGGGCCCAGATCTGGCTCTCCTTAATATGTAGCTTTTCACGATGTCGAATTAGAGGGTTAAAGTACATATAACCCGGCCCTGAGCATGGGAGGAAGAAATAAAGGGGTTGAGATGCTTACAAGAAGAATAAGAGAGAAGGACAAGCATTAAATGGGTGAGAACTAGGACCTCGAGGCGAGTGTAGAAACTGAGGATGAGATTGTAACTAGTAGGTGAGAAATCCTTGCTCTTCTGCTTTGCGTTTGGGGTCTGGGTATCTACAGCCCAGGCGGGATATTCCAAACGGCCCGTCTAACAACATCTCCCTTTCCCCCCTACCCTTTCTAATCTAGCGAGCGCTGTATCAGTCTTCTCACGTGGACGAGAACGACGTCCAGACCATCTCGCACAAATGCCTGGTGGTTGACCTGGAGCAGTACGAACAGATGCTGAAGACTAAGAAGTATCAAGATAGTGAAGACCTTTACTACCTAGCGGGGACATACGAGCCTACTACGGGCATGATATTCAACACAGATGGGGTCCCCGTCATCTGCTAACTAGCCCGGGAAAAGGGAATTCTGGGAGGCATCCCTCCCCAACACCCTGCCCCACGCTTCCAAAGCATTCGCTCATGCCCACAACCTGTATGGGAGAAGAATGGGACAAAACAAAAAAAAGTATGTGCCTGTTTTTTAACGACAGCATGATTGTTTTAATGCTCGCACGCATCACGACAAAGATTTTTTTTAAAAAAGAGACTCTATTTTGAGGGACTTCCTGAAAACAGCTCAGGGTGACAGCAAGGATCCAATGACTTGGCTTTTGGGGAAGAAGAACATAGGAGAGTTTTTGGGTTCTTTTTGTTATTTGGAGGGTGTCCCCCCCCGATTCTGGATATGTACGACGGACTTCCCCCTCCCCCGACCATTGAGAACCGGAGCACCAGATAACGTCATGGGAAGAGCATAAATCAAGAACAGTTCCATAGGATAGTCGAAGAGGGCAACTTTTCATCCAGAGTCGACACTCTCTGGTCCCTTGTGACCCCACACCACGCTTGTGGGAAAGTATGGGGCTAGAGGAAGAGCCAAGCATCAGTCGGAACTTTTGTTTGACTTCTCTGTCTAAAAGCTTGCTTTCTGATCCCTGGCACAGAACTGACGTTCAACTGGACAGCCCGGGAACTTTCTTTAAAAAAAATATTTTTTCCCAAATCGACTGGATCTGGCTAGTTGCCGCTTCTAAACCTTTGTCGGGGAGAGCTCTTTTATAGTAATATGGATGCAGTCTCTTGAACAAAAACAAAGCCCCATTTTCCTTTCTCACGTACGCTGAATGTAAATCCTTCTAGGGAATGACGAGAAACACGGTTCTCTGTTTTAACTGGCCGCTCCCTAAATGTACAACACAACTTTTGGGGGGAGGGGGGAGAGGCGTGTTTTGGAAAGCACACTGTCATCTGCTTGCCGTTTTCACGGAATGAAGCCAAGAGACGCTGTTGGGTGTCATCTTGTTCCAGCGGACTTGTCTTCTCAAGGACTCCTGGATGTTCGTACAGAACGAAATTCTCAACCTCCCCTTCCCCTTGCCGCACAACAGCACTTGGGTGGACCTTGAGCTTTTCAATCTGGGAAGCGTTGGCTGATGGGATCCGGGAACCCGCGTTGGACTTGACGATGCATGCTTTTTCACTTGGCAGGTCTAAGAGTGAACAACACCATCACCACCCCCCTCCCCCAACCGATGCCAATCAGACATTTTCCATCTCCTTGTCTGTCCGGTCACTTCTCCATCCATCTCTGCCATTTTGTTTTCGTCATGGGCCTCGAGCTCTGGACTTTGCCTCTTGCCATTTCAAGGCAGGGCAGAAGCCCAAATGTGGACACTGTCGACAAGGAGAGAAGGTCGAACAGCCGTGGCGGTGTCATAGCAGATTCGGGGACGAGGGGAGGGCAAAGAGGGGGGAACAGACAGGAGCAACATCACAACCTTGCACTTAGAAAAAACAAACATACACTACACAACCCAAGACCCCGTGATTGTTTCAACCTGGAACGGAGTGTACCATTCCAGCACTACAGGGGGGGCCCGATACTTACTTACTTCCATGGACAGATTTTTAACTATCTGCCGCGGTACTTACTGAGTACTATAGACGCGTAGCTGGGTGTGGAAGGGAGCAAGAGAGGCACCTTTCTTTCTTTTTAAAAGAATCCTTCACAGCCTACTTCTGAACGAACCACAGTGGTGCTGATCCATACTGCCCGCCTTCTGGACCACGGCTGCCGAGGACTTCGGTAGATAAAATAATTCTTTAAAAAAAAAAAAAAAGCAAACAAACTCTGTACAGTTTTAATGTACCATAAGACTTCACGAATGCCCTTTTCCCCTGTATGATAAAACCTCTTTAACGGAAAGGAGAAAACAAATCAGAAAATGAATCCAGCTTTTTAATTATAAATATAAAGTATAAATATATAAATATATATAAATATATAAACTTTTTTAAAAACTGTGAAAAAAAGTATGAAATTATTAAAAAAAACACAGTCTGACATTTAGACTTTTTATTTTTTATTTCCTGTTGGATTGTGACTGTACAAAAGAGAGAGAGAGAGAGAGAAACAGGGGAACAGGAGATTCTCGCCTGCTTACATAACAAACTGTGTCTCGTGCTCGTCGGAAGCAGCTCTCGCGCGCAGATCTTCCGAGACACAGAACGAGAGAATTTACGCGAATGTCAAATAGAAAGCACTTAGCTGCCCATTGCCTTCTATGGAACACAAGGATTTTTTCCAGACAATCGAGAGGAAAGGAGCCAGGTTATTATTTTTTTCTCGTCCTGTTATTTTTCCTGTTGTTACGTTTTATGTTTTTCAAGGTCCCCCACCCTTTTTTGCATTGTTCGTTGGCCAATTATGTGTGATCCTTTTTCATAAAAAAAAATCAATCGAAAACAAAACTCTACCGCCTTTGGTTGTGGTTTTTCTTTGAAGTCTCGTCCTTCCATTTCTGAGACTCCAGATCTATAGACCCCATTTGTGACATCATGCGTGAGGTTACATGGACATATGAAGCAGCAGATCATTGATGCATCCGCCAAGCGCTATGGGGTCTCAGGAAGTGTACAGTCTTTCCCCACGTATATTACCCCAAAGATCTTGTTAAGTGGAGATGCCAGGGACTGAACCAGGGACCATCTTCATGCAATGTGGAAGCTCCACCACAGGGGTGCCACTCAAAATTAAAGTTGTCAGTCCACAGATCTACTTTAAGCATAGTTGATCTCCCTTTCCCCCCCTGCCTGGGAAGCTATTTGCCATGCATCAACTAGCATAGGGGAAACTGGGTCAGGGAGGTGGATTGGAAGGTCCTCTACTAGAGCAGGGGCAGTGATGCTCTGTATTCTTGGTGCTTGGGGGGGCACAGTGGGAGGGCTTCCGGAGTTCTGGCCCTGCTGGTGGACCTCCTGATGGCATCTGGGTTGAGGCCACTGTGTGACACAGAGTGTTGGATTGGGTGGACCATTGGCCTGATCCAACATGGCTTCTCTGATGTTCTTGTGTCTGGGGCAAGTGATGCTCTGTATTCTTGGCGTATGGGGGGCCACAGTGGGAGGGCTTCTGGAGTTCTGGTCTCGCTGGTGGACCTCCTGATGGCACCTGGCTTGTGGCCACTATGTGACACAGAATGTTGGACTGGGTGGACCATTGGCCTGATCCAGCATGGCTTCTCTGATGTTCTTATGTCTGGAGGAGTGATGCTCTGTATTCTTGGTGCTTGGGGGCAACCGTGGGAGGCCTTCTGGAGTTCTGGCCCTGCTAGTGGACCTCCTGATGGCCCCTGGGTTTTGGCCACTGTGTAACACAGAGAGTTGGATTGGATGGGCCATTGGCCTGATCCAACATGGCTTCTCTTATGTTCTCTGTATTCTTGGGGCTTGGGAGGCAGTGGGAAGGCTTCTGGAGTTCTGGCCCTGCTGGTGGACCTCCTGATGACACCTGGGCTTTGGCCACTGTGTGATACAGAGTGTTGGACTGGATGGGCCATTGGCCTGATCAGCATGGCTTCTCTTATGTTCTCTGTATTCTTGGTGCTTGGGGGGCAACCGTGGGAGGGCTTCTGGAGTTCTGGCCCTGCTAGTGGACCTCCTGATGGCCCCTGGGTTTTGGCCTGTGTAACACAGAGAGTTGGATTGGATGAGCCGTTGATCTGATCCAACTTGGCCTCTCTTATGTTCTTACGTCTGGGGCAGTGATGCTCTGTATTCTTGGTGCTTGGGGGGCAACCGTGGGAGGGCTTCTGGAGTTCTGGCCCTGCTAGTGGACCTCCTGATGGCCCCTGGGTTTTGGCCACTGTGTAACACAGAGAGTTGGATTGGATGAGCCGTTGATCTGATCCAACTTGGCCTCTCTTATGTTCTTACGTCTGGGGCAGTGATGCTCTGTATTCTTGGTTAGGGTTAGGCTTCTCTTACGTTCTTAGGGGTCCCCCAACATAGCGCCTGCTGACACCTTTCCTGGTGCCCACCAAGTGTTTTTAGCGAGTCGAAGGGGCCAGGTGGGACTACTGTCCAGCAAGGCTTCTGATTGGCCAGAGGAGATTTGGTTGGCTGTGCAGAACGTTTCCACAAATGGCTTCACGGTGTGACTGTAGGTAAACTTTGGCGGCCGTTTTGTGGCAGTGCCCACCACGCTGTCTCACCATCCAGAGGTCCCTGCATGTTCAAACAAAAGGTTGAGGACCCTTAGTGTTGCCCAGTCCCGTCGGGCCAGCCGTGACGGGAGTGATGTAGGCATGTTGGGGTCGGCGCTCTGCTCTGTGGGCGAAACCTCTACGGTGGAATTAACTTCTACCATAGAGTTTTGCCCCAAAACCAGAGCGTCATCCCCACTTCGACGCCACCAACGTGCCTCCGTCACTTCTGGGTGACGTAGGCAGGGCTATTTTGGGGCAGGAACGCACAGGAACGGAGTTCCGGCTGGCTCCCGAGTTGGCCACGCCCAACGGGAACTCATTAGCATAATAGGCCACACCCAACAGCAGACACTCATTAGGATTGGCTACATTAGGGGTGTGTGGCCTAACATGCAAAGGAGTCCCTGCTACAAAAAAAGGCCCTGGGTTTGGACAACAAACAAGGTAAACTGAATAAGAAGCAAAAGGTGGGTGTGGCTGGATGACCACACTTCTGGTAGCATGGGGGTGCAGCCTAATATGCTAATGAGCTATGTTCTCATGGGTGTGGCTGGGTATGCTAATGAGTTTCTGCTGTTGGGTGTGGCCTATTATGCTAATGAGTTCCTGCTGGGCTTTTTCTACAAAAAAAGCCCTGCGTTTACCCTTTTACTTGTGTCAGGTTCACAGAAAACAAAAACACTGGGGACATTAAGTTTCATTTCGTTTTAATAAAAATCTCACTGAGGTACATTTGCATGGACTACAGCAGGCTACGTTTAAACGGACTACATGGGGGCCTCCCTTCCTCTTCAGTTAGAATTCCACCTCTGGGTAGGCCTTTGCCCTGAGGCGATGCATCCTGAATGTCTTAGTTAAATGGCCGGCACACCCAA